CAGAAACATTCAATTAACGACCTAATGCTGAGGAAATGCGTATCGAAAATTGTCGAGAAAGCAGTACGGAGTAAATTTTGGCGAAAAAAAGGAGGACTTAAAATTTCCCGTAGTCATATGAGTAGGCCTCACATTTCCAGAGAATTTTACCTGACCTTTTTTCCCAAAATGTATTCTCATCCAGTATGGAATGAAGTTTTAAACTTCGATCCCCGTATCCATCAAATCGGGAATCAAAAAAGGGTACTACGGAGTATAATCTCGACAAAGTTGAAGCTATATGAGATGTGTTCATCCTATTTCGTTTAATGTAATGAAAGACTGGTAATTGCATTTTCCCACAATGATATGAGTAGAGATGACGTTTCCATTCAATTTCACATAGCCTTGCCTTCCCAAAAGGTGTTCTCATTCAGTCTGGACTGCAGTTTCGGTCTCGCCTAGGTCCTTTATCACCTTAAACGAAATAGATCGAATACATTACATATAACTGATTTACTGATAATCTCGAAACCCTACTTATAAACGAAAAAAACGTTCAAACTGCCGCCTAGTCGACTTGAAGAGGCTGATAAGTTGCGAAGAAGGAGACAAACCAACTCTATACAGCAAAAAAAGGCTGCGACAAAGCCAACGGCTACACTTTTTTTAGTCTTTTCTGCTGTATTTTATGAAAAATAGGCTTCCATAGTAGGTGAATCTCCTTTCTCTAAATTGACTGAATATCAAGGAATTATTAAAAACCTCGAGAGTCATACTACTCAGGAGACGACCCATGCTCACGATTACGGCAAGACAGTACTCTTCGATGTCCCCCTGAAAACAGCACTGGGTCGCGAAAACCAAATCCAACTAACTGGAACCACAAACTCATCCACATTTTTGCATCATAACACGAATCAGGGATCCCCCTTAGCCCCTCACAATACCATTATGTTACAAGCAACAAAATGTATCCAGAATTCGTTAAATGGAAATAGAAATTAAGCTCTATTTTAGCACTTTGTCATACAAATTGGATTTCATACAATGTGTGGGACAAATAGAGAGGCTCAAATTAAGTGACGTGAATTAAATGTAAGTTGACATGTTTACATGCAAAAACCGTGATGACACAAGACACATAAAGAGAGGGGCGGCAGTCTCCATCCCAACTCACCTGAATCGGCTGTTGCACATTGCGAAGGCTCTCCTCCAAGTCGACAGCTCGTTGAACCACGAGCTTAAGTCCTGCATCCAGGCCGGTTTCGTTGCCAAGGCGGGCGGCCGCCAAAGCGTCGTTGAGCAGCACCTGACGAGTCGACAGCGCCTCGTCCAACCTGGCCAACAGATCGACCGTCTGCTGCGAAAGAATGGCTATCGGTGAGCCTGGCGACGTGAACAGATGACAAGATGACTTGGAAGTGGTGGCAGTAGCGGCTTCGAGTTGACATCGACGCTGCGCCAGCTTCAGGAGAACCGGCCGGCGGCCAATGATCTGCTCGCGAAGGGCTTGCAGCCCGGCCTTCTCGAGGCTGTTGACAAGCGTGGAATAGGCAGCAACGGTAGCTGTACAGGACGATGGGGTCACCGCCGAGATGGCCAGCCCAACCTCGGCCTCTTTCGACTGCAACCAAGTGGTCAGTTCGGCCTCGCAGAAAGCCTGCTGATCCCAGCGAATCTTGAGTTCGTACAGATTGACAATGCGCGTCTCGAGCTGTCGAGTGGGAATAGGGATTGAGACAATATTTTGGCGGTTAAAAGTCGGCTTGAAAGAAAAGATTTGATTGTCAATCCCAACAGTAGACAACGGTGGATTACAATTGGCCAGTTGTCGGTTGATTATCCCCATGACGATCATGTGGTCGATGTCATGTTAGTGAGACATGCCGACCTATTAGACAAAGATTAATAGAACACAAAAATGCTTGCAAAGGTAGCTGGATCCAACGTTCACAAGTGGCCGAACACATGGTAGAAATAGAATGGTCTCAAACTAGTATGTCTGCTGATTACGGTACGTCTGTGTTTAAAAG